AAGGAAGGAAGGAAGGAAGGAAGGAAGGAAGGAAGGAAGGAAGGAAGGAAGGAAGGAAGGAAGAAAGAAACATGAGTTGATACCATGAAGGTAAAACTAGGTTATTATTGAAAAATCAAGATTAACTGTAAGTTTCCAACTCATTTAATAGGAAAGTTTTTTGTCATAGTCACTGTCAACCTGACACAAACCTAGACATATCTGGGACTAGGGAGTCTCAACTGAGGAACTGCCTTCATCAGAGTGGCCTGTGGGGCATTTTCTTGGTTTGCGATTGATGAAGGAAGGCCCAGCCTACTGTGGGTGGCACCACTCCTGGGCAGGTGGGCCTGGGATGTATTAGAAAGGTAGCTGAGCAAGCCAGGGGCATGACCCAGGAAACAGATTCCACCATTGGTCTCTGCTTCAGTTCCTGCCTCAAGTTCCAGCCTTGGCTTCCCTCAGTGCTGGACTATGACCTGAGAATTGTGACCTGAGAATTGTAAACTGGAATGAACCCTTTCTCTCCCGCCCCCTGTGTTTATCAGGGCAACAGAAGGCAAACTGTGGCAGGCTCTAACTCCCAGGAAACTAGAACAGGGAGCGAGATCCTTAGGTGAGGCTCTATTTACTCTAGAGACGTGTTTGTCCAGAGGAAACTGTCTACAGGCAGAACAGTTTGAAAGTGTGTGTATGTGTGTATTTTTTTTACCTGATAATTTGTCAGGCAGTCAATCAACATCCTTTCTGCTGCTACCTTTTCTTGTTGAAGGCAGACTGAGTCCCCTGAAAGATCATAAGGAAAATGAAGCAAGTATGAACACTCAGTTGTCCAGAATCTCATTCAAAGGCACAGAAGTCATTCCACCTACTACAAAAGCCTTATGTAATCAATCTAACTACAGACTGATGTCTCCCTCCCTCCTATTTTCCATCTTTCTTGTTCTGTGTCTCTCAATATATCCCTTTCTCCTCCCTCTCTCACTCATTCCTCATCTCTCTCTCTCTCTCTCTCTCTCTCTCTCTCTCTCTCTCTCACACACACACACACACACACACACACACACACACACACAAGTGCTCTTCCCCACCCCTACATGCCACAGAATGCTAGAACAGTCCTGTCCCATCTACAACCTGAAAGAAGGATGACAAGGAATGCTGCTTATTAGGATAACTATTAACAACAGCCTAATTTCACAAGTAACATAGCTTTATGCCCTGAAAACACTACTCTATCAGGGCTGGAGCTGGAGCTCAGTCAGTATAGTATTTGCCTAGCATGCATGGAGCCCCATGTTCCATCTTAGCATAAACATGGGTGTGATGGTGCATACCTGTCAGCCCAGTTCAAGAGGTGGAAGCAAAAGGTTCAGAAATTCAAGGCCATCATTAGTTACCTAGCAAATTCAAGGCCACCATGAGCTGCTTGGGGCCCTATCTCAAAAAAGAAAAGTGTTGGGGGTGGGAGATGGTTCAGTGACTAAGAGCACTGATGTGTCTTCTAGTAGACCCAGGTTCAATTCCCAGGGCTCACAAGACAGCTCACAACTGTCCAGTCCCATCTGATACCCTCTTCTGGCCTCCATGGGCACTACACACACATGATGCATTGACAAACACACATACATATAAAAATAAATAAAATCTAAAACAAAAAATGGTACTTTATCATGATTATTAAACTTATAATGAAGACTTCACCTTTTCCCTTGTAACACACGCCAGAGACATTTCAAATATCCCTGTGGGCCAGCAAGTGGCACTTGCTTCCAAACCTGTCAACCTGAGTTCAATTCCAAAGATCCACAAGGTAGGAGAGAGTACGGACTCCTAAAAGTTGTCCACACATACACATACACATACACATACACATACACATACAAACACACACACACACACACACACACACACACACACACACACACACACACAAAGATTCCTTTAAAAAAAAAAGTAATGCAGTGAATGATTGAAGAAAACACCCAATGTGGACCTCTGATCTCCACATGCACACATCAATGTGCACATACACATTAACATGTATACACATACACACACACACACACACACACACACACACACACACTCACGGGAAAAAAACCAAATATAACAAAATCCTTAGGGCACATTTCAAATACTAGATCCTTGGTTGGAAACACTCCAATCATATAAATACCCACTCTCTTCATTGGCACAGGACCAAGGCAGACCAACTCAGAATTTGCACAGCTGTTACATATGGAGTATCTTCTCAAAGAACTACATTTTTGTTTTTAAATTTTACATGTACTAGGGTTCTGTTTGCATATATGTCTATGCATCACATGTGTACCTAATGTCTGCAGAGGTCAGAAGAAGGCATTTGGTCCCCTGGAACTGGAGTTACAGATAGTTGTGAGCCACCATTTGGGTGCTGGGATCTGGGGTCTTCTGCAAGAGCAACAAGTGTTTTTTAACAGTTGAGCCATCTCTGCAGTCCTGAGAACTACCTTTTTAAAGTATATAAAGAATCAGCAACATAAACTATTCTGACCCAGACCACAGTGCTGGGAATTCTTAGGGGAACCTTAGGAATTCTTCTAAGACACAGAATCATCAGACCTTACCATGGGATGAATCAGCTGCTGCCATTCTGTAACATGGAAGTGTGTCTGAATACTCCTTTGACTGGGGTTATCATCACTTTAGTGCAGCTGCTGAGGTTCAGTGGACAGAAGCACTCTCCATTACCTGTTGTACACAACCATTAGCATTCCTGTAGTATCAATCATTAATTAACATGACTCTGAAACATGAATTCTAGTGATCTACCTGCCATTTACTGAGGAATGCTATGTAGCACACTGTGAAAGGAGTGTGTGTGTATGTGTGTGTGTGTGTGTGTGTGTGTGTGTGTGTGTGTGTGTGTATGTGTTCAATTATCATTATAACCAGCCTTCACAGTAAATACAACTGCTCTAAAAAGTCCTACATTCAAGCCAAGTATGGTGGTGCATGACTGCAATGCTAGTGGTGTGGAACAATCTTTTTGTACACTGTGAAAATGTGTTGCTCTCATTGGTTAAATATAGGGCATTCATTGATTTAATAAAGAGCTAATGGTCAACACCTAGGCAGGTAGAGTTTAGGCGGGACTTGTGGACAAAAAGAGAGTATGTGGATGAAGAAGGGCAGAGTCACCAGCAAGATCCAGAGGAAGCAGGAGATGAACATGCCATGCTGAATAAAGGTACCACCATGCAGTAGAACATAGATAAGAAATATGGGTTTAGAGACAGGCGTGGCGGTGACGGCAGGCAGAGGCAGGGAGGTCCAGCAGCGGCCCGCAGAGGTAGACAGGCCCGGCAGAAACAGGCCTGGCAGAAACAGGCCTGGCAGAGGCAGACAAGCCTGGTGTGGAGGCAGAGAGGCCCAGCAGGCGGCAGCCAAAACACAGTTGCAATGAAGACCAGAAACTGAGCTATTACCCGCTGAAGAGATAGTGAAAACAAGCTCTTAATCAAGAGCATGGAACAGGGACGCCTTTAATCCCAACACCCTGGGAAGAAGCTATCTCTGTGGGACGGAACCAGAATGAATCTGAACACTCCATCTGAGGCCAACAACAGGGCCCAGCTTCTCATCCTGCGAAACCCAACAACTTGGAGGTGTTGGTGAGACTACCCCGCTCAGCTGAAATCCATCCGGGAGAGGATTCAGATGACTACAGTTTGAAGTCTGAAGAAACAAGATCAGCTGAGGAGTTGAC